AAAGAGAAAGCAGCATAGGTCAAAGTTGAATCCAAGGATAGCATATTAATGAACTACTCAGACATCAAGCTGGTTGTATGTTAAATACTAACGTTCTACAACTCACATTATCCAATTAGGTTATCCATCATAACGAGTATACATTATCCAAATACCTTGTTGGAGTCCAATGGGTCGGACAATATCTTTTTTGAGGTTGAGGCAACATGGGACGATGACATCTCAACATCTGTTCCTTCGCAGCTTCCTTTAGCTTGATCTTTTGAGCTTATTTTTGCTTTTCGTTTCAGTAGATTCAATTCCCTTGCACTTGGCCTCTTAGAAGTAACACGAGGAACCATTCTTGAAACAAATTGTTGAATATGATGTGGAGAATAGTTTGCATATAATCTGTTTCCAACCCCATTTGCATGAACATTGGGTTTCTGCTCAATAAGATCCTCATCTCTAATCATTTCATTGACATCCATAAACTGCTCGCACATGTCCAAACCTGTTCCATAGAATGTCCAAAGTCTGTTCAATAGATGCATCAATCAAGTCAAACAAAAGATATTTCGAGTATACAGAGTCAACTTTACAAAGAATGAGGAGAACCAATAGTAGTGATATTAAAGACTTGAAGAATGGGTTTACACATATACTGGTTTTATAATAATACTACCCTGGCATATAACAATTCACGAAATTGGACCATTCATAACACTTTCCCCATGGTTCGATTAATAGAATGGAGAGTCTTGGAGACAAGCCCAAGGAACTACTGACCTAGACGTCGTCGGAGATTCTTTTTCTGACGAGCCACTCGGTCCCTTGGATTCTTGGAATTGTCATTTAAAATGTCATACTCCTGCAACAAAAAGAGTTTCTCCATGTTGAAAAAGGCTAATAATTTTCTATCATCTGAAAAAGGAACCACAACATATCTAAAAAAAATGTCTTAGGAAAAAAAGGTAAGGACAAAGGGAGAAATAGCAGAAGGTTTCACATTTCACGTATTCCGCTAACCAAAAGTTCAAACAAAAAAAAACAAAGGGAAGGTATCATGTTGCATAAACTGATTGTGTTGAAACAACGGTAAGCGTTGTTTACATACAAAGTCACAGAACTGTTTAAGGCCAAATAATGAAACTGTTGGAAAAAAAATCTGGACATAAAAAACCCGCTTATAATTTGAATAGTGCTAATGTGATCCTCAACAACAAAAGCTAAGAGAATTCAAGAGACTATCCAAAAACTTTCCTTACGATGCCAAGAGAACTTAATTCAACCTAAAACATTTTTATGAATCTAACCAGATCGCCATCAAACTTAACGTTATTCCAGTGGCCTACTTATTCCAGAGGATTTATGACTGACAAAACTGTAAATTCCACAGAGATTATTGCCTAGGCCTAAAGAGAAGACATCAATGAAACTATACCAGAGATAATCAGCTGAAGTCTTATAGAATGACCTAGACAAGTAAATGATAAAATTACCTGACCACCAGATGCCAACAAAGCGCCAAACTCTAAAACCTTATTCATCTCAAAGCTGTTAGCACATGCCAAAAGTTAGAGACATCAGAAGACATCAGGCAACCCTAACATGACGAAGACATCTGAAAATCCAGCAAGAAGTCTTGACAGTAGATGGAAAAAACGTATATATGAGGTAACAGATCTATTAATAACCTTCTGAAGGGAGCATTTGCTAGAAGTTTGGACTGAAGATTGCTTGAAGCCACCACTTCATCTGCATTATCGGACATCCCGGCCTCACTCAACTTCGTTGCCAAAGAATTTAACAGTTCACTCAATGAAGTATGCTTGACATTCAGAACAATGGCACCAATAGCATGAGCAGCAGCAACCCTCGTATCCCACTTTTTACTACGGAGGTAATGCAAAACCTAATTCCCAGAAAAATAGAGTTAAGCCAAACTATAATGCCAAGAAGAATGACTTAGTAGTTTAGAAAGATGTAAAGCTAAACTATAATGCCAAGCAGAAATATTTTAAGATATATGATACCTAAAAAGCAGCAGAAACAAGGTTTCCAGAAAACAAAACCTAGCCTGAGGAGAAATATAATTTTATGAATAAGACCAGATGTCTTAACAAAGCTTGAAATTCAATCTAATAACAGAAACTCTGAAATGCGACTTAAATAATTGCATTCCTTTCTGAAACCTATTAGATTCTTTATCTAAAGCTTCTACATTATTTAGGAGTGGTACCGCAACCATATGATCTGTTGGGTATGTTCAAACAATGCTGACAACAGCCTATCAAAAGATGTATTGTAACTAGGTGTCAAACAATAGAAGGCGCTCCTAGGGATCATAGTTGTGTATAGCTCTATGGAACAACTTTCTCTAGCCATGCTGAGACTTGTAACTATATTGGAAAGTAAACCCAACGACCAGGGGATGACACCTTTGAACCCAAAATTTCAGATTTTTACTGCATGATGGAGCTCCTAAATCACACATCCACACTTCATAATCTCTGCAAGCCTCAAACTCTTTGGACCATCGAGCCAGCAGTAGGTCTAGAACAAAGTATAAGAGAGCATCTAAGCTAAGAGAAAAAAAATCACTACTTCCAAAGAGAAGGACATTAGCAAACATATAGGTAGGTGACTTCCACTGCCACTTTCATTGACATCTCAACAATTTTTCCCATCAGTCTAACAAGGAAACCAAAACCGTATGTCTCTGTAATCAGACACCCTAACCATACAAAAGTAAAACCCAGAACGAAATCCTAGCCCTAGAATCATTAATCAGAGAAAGCCAAGAAAACCGAAACAGACAAGACTATACCTTTCTCAAAAGAGAGCTCAAATCCTGAGGATGAGACTTGGCAATATCCCCGATCTGCCTGGCTGCAGTTAGCCTAGTAGCTTGTGTTGAACCAGCTACGAAGAAAACAAAATCAAGGAGAACATGTACCACCTTTCAAAGATTAAGAAACGAAGGCGACAAACAACAATAATGACATTATCAAAACAAACGAAGAAATTATAAAAAAAAAGAGCAGAATCGGTAAAAACTATCATGAAACAAAATCAAAAGGATACTGTCCAACAAAGTAAGGAGACGATTGAGTCGCGAAGATTGTTGTTGTGCCATGAAGCCCACAATGACAACAACGTTGATGATGAAAACAAGAGTGGACCTCCTCTTGGCTTCACTTCCACATCCAAGCTCATCCAATCACTTTACGGAAACTGAACCTACAACAACAACAACACTGCAGATTAAATTCAAATCACCAGAAAATTTCGAAATAGAGAAAACGAATCAGGCATTCGGAAATAGAATATCGAAAGAAAAAAAAGCTTTATTTAGTAATTCGATTTGGTCGGGGTAAGCCGTTTCTCATCTTCATCCTCGTGATTTTCTAGGGAAAATTTC